ATAAAATGATACAAAATATAATATTTTCCATTCTACTTATTTGCATTTATACTCTTTCCAAGCATAGCCTGAATAAAACTTTTTAGTCTGGGCGTGGAGTTAAATTCCCTAAAAATGCAACCGCTGAAAAACCTTTTAATTAGGCATCAACAGATACAGAAGGCAGGTTTCTTCATTCTGAACACCCGCAAGGCTCCATTGTTGAATCAAATTGTTCAATTTGCCATTGTATTCAAATTAATCATCTAATCTATGAAGTGTCAATGGTAACAGAACTGAGGACTCAATGGTCAGTGTCCAATAATGAACATATGTTGAGGACTTGATGGTTTAGGTTGGGACTCCCCAGGATGATACTAGTTCCATTGGTTTTCAGTCATTGGCAAAGAGTTATTTGCCTAAAAACACATGGGATTTGAACAGGGATTGGTCTTGTAAAGGTATTGCTATTGAACTAGTTCCATTGGTTTTCAGAAAGGCATTTGTTCAGGATATGTGTCCAACAACTGTATTGAACCAACACATATGTGTTGATACTGCAACAAAGCAGAAGGGGTTTTTGCTGGGTGACGATTAAAACTTGACACTGCCTAAGAACCAACGAAAAATCAGACCATAATTCAGATAATTCAGATGTAACATTTATTAAAGTGATCAACCACGCATATATTCAATTATCACTGTAGCATTTGTTAAAAGTTCACAAATACACAGTCATCCCATCATCGTTAAAGTTCAGGGACCAAATTGATACTAAGCCTAAGCCTAAAGTATAAGGTATTTATCAGAAATTTTTCCTAAATATAATTGAGTGTTTTGAATACCAGAGAATCCAGACAGCACATGTGGGCTTCTTCTAGTTATAGTTATGACAGGAGAGAGGAACATGGGTACACGCACGGCACATTGAAGAAACAACTGGTTGATGGCTTCACGCTTCACACACAGTTCACACTCACTCATCACTGTTTTATTATTATATATTATATAAAACAATAGTATCTTTTGTACCTTTGCTTTGGAAACACTATTTTTGCAACTTTTGATTATCGCGTAATCAGTGTTGTTTTACTGTTGAAACTTGAAAGCATACTCACGGGACTACTCATTAACTCGATCGGGACAAAACAAAACCTGCACCTGCACCCAACCCAAGGTAGAGAGACTCGTTTGGTAATTGGTACCCTGAAGGCCTGAACTGAGGGTATTTTTCAGGAAGCTGTGGATTTTTGTCAGTGCAGTGGAGTCGTTCACATTCAATAAGCTGAAGCTGAACAATGATCTTATAGATATGATAGCACATTAGTTCAGAAGTTGAAAGTAACTTCGGAATAGAGTTTACAAGTACTTTTTTTAAGGCAGTACAATAACATTGTATTTGTAGGAGTTGTACATATATTTATATTTATATTTATATTTATATTTATGCTCTTCTCAATTTAGAGTGGAGCTTTAGATTTCTAGGAGTGGACTGACCTATAAAAATCTTAACAATCAATATTATAAGGCGGGGTATATTGCTGGTATGTGATTGAACATGTGGTTATTATACTGGGTCTCTCATATGATGGATGGTCTTTATGGGCTGGTCATGTAGAGAAAATCTTCCTACTTGGCCCAACTTGTGCCAGAACCTGAAAATCTTCCTACTTAGAGCTAAAAGGTTTTTAATGGACCAGACATCCATATAAGTTGTTGATTCTCCTTTTCACCACAATACGTTAAAAAAAAAGTTGACAGAATAGAAACCTAACAAAAACCATTGTTGAATGTTAGGAGTTAATACATTCCCCCAACTTGTGCTATGGATCTTTCTCTTTTCATCTTATCTTCTATCCGTCTCTCCCTTTTCTTATCTTCTACAAGAGGAGAGGAAGATCAAACTGTTATTTGTAGTGTAATAAAAAAAAAAAAAACTGTTATTTGTAGAGCTGTGGATATTGATTTCTCACACAATTCAATACTCACACCAGAGTGGTGGACAATAGAGGAAGGTGACTGATTTTGACTGCACCTTTGATACGTTAGGAGTTTAATCAACCCATCTTCTATAGGGCCGTGATTTGACGTTGGTTGTAAGAGAACAGTTCTTATGAATACGGCCCAGTAAAAAGTGGAATATGAATTATGATCCCCAGGTTTTGATTGTCTTTTTTTTTTTTGGTAATGGAAATTTAATTGATAAAAACAGAGCATAAGTCCTTTAGCTCCTGGATCTACTCCGGGCAAACCTGAATATACAAACCTGATAAGAAACAGATCCATATTTAATGATATTCTTTATATCCTACACAAGAAAAGACGCATCGCTGACCACTGATAAGTTGCCCTTGTTCACTGCGATCACTAGAGATTAACAATCACTCTCGAGCAAAAAATAAGCACCAGATAACAGAGAAGCAAGCTTTAAACCTTGTAAGACTGCTATCGCTTCGGCTTTAATGGGTGAGCTCACTTTACAATTGCCTAAAAGAAAAAGCTACCACTTTCCCACAGTGATCTCTAGCAATGCTCCAAAGCCAACAGTTCCTTGGATAAAAAAACTCACATCTGTATTAATTTTTATAACCCCTTCACTAAGAGGAAACCAAAAAGAAGACTTTCTGATTTGATTATGAACTGGGGAAGAAAGCAGCCATCTTTGTCGGGAAGTCAATTTCCTCTCCTTTATCATCCTACCTATAGACAACAGAGTAGAGGTTGGATCTGTAACTACATTTTCAAAAATGAAAGCATTTTGGCTTTTCCAAATAGACCAAATGGTTGAGATCACCGCAAAAAATTCATCCTTGTTCTCTCCTTGGTCTAGGCAAAACTCCATCCACCAAATTAACCACACACTAAAGAAGGGAAAAGATTTAAATTTTTCTATTTTAAGGTTTGAAGAACTTGCAAACTAGGTGGCTTTGGCATGATCATAGTGAAGAAGCGCATGAGCTATTGGTTCATTCCCTTTAGAGCATATAGGACAAACCTCTAAATCTCCAATTGACCTTTTCTTTAGATGTTTTCTAATTGCCAAAGCATTCCAGCAGCATTTCCACAGATTTTTTTTGGGAATATTAGGTGGAGTTCGGTAATGTATACATATCGTGGACGGGGGACCAAAATCCTATCAACGGTAAAATATGGTGTTCTGTGTGGACAGTCCTTATCCACAAAATAGCATAGACAGGGATGGGTCGCACTCCAATTTATCTTTTATAGTATTTTCTCATAGATAGTCTACACTATGGCGTGGATAGTTTGTGGGAAGGTTTCAATAGTTTGTGGTCCAATTACTCTCATTTTATTTATTTTTTTAATAATTTTTAATATTTTATCAATAAAATAATAATTTTTAATGTTAATTTTAGCACGAGTCTGATGGTTCTCCTTCTCCACTCTTTTTTCATTATTTGAATATTAAATTTTTTAATATTTAAAATAATATTTTTTAATTATTTAAAAATGCAATTATTGCCTACATATCAATTTATTGATATTTTTTTAATTTATTTACCATATAAAATGCAAAAATTAGATATTTACGACCGAATGTGTAAATCTCTCGTAAAATGTATATGAGATACATGGAATAAAAAAGTGTGGCACACCTAGAGAACACCACTGTGAGTATGGATTGGTCTAGTCCACGCAATCTATCTACAGTTCAGAACAGTTGTGGACTATGGTGTGGTGTGGATCGGTCCCTACCACAGGGTGTGGTGTGGACCAGTCCACACTCACCAACTTCTCATCCACACTACAAAACACCTCCCTTAATTGCCTACAAAACTTTCCAATGACATTTTTTTTAAAGTCTTGTTTCTTTCTTTTTCTTTTGAACCCGACCAAAATTTTCATTTAGCTGTTTTGCAACAAAAAATAAGCCAACTCTACTAAAAAAAGAAACACCATTCTCACTCAAATAAAGGGATGGTTAAGATATTTTCTGCTATTAGATCACTAAAATTGTTTTTTGACGAGCTCCTCATTCCAGGTCTTTCCAGAGGGAGATATTAGACCTTTAACTTCAATTGATTCTCATTAGAAGGCCTAGGTCCCTGAATTCTGAAGCCTGGAATTCAATGAAGTCAAGGATCCTCCCAAATTTTTATGTTTTCCCCTTTATTTAGTGCCCAACAGGCTCCCTTTATTTTCTAACATTTTAATGAATCTCATTTCTTGTGTTTGTGGCGAATCAACCACGTAAAGACATGTGGCAACATAGTAAACACCTAAAGATTCTTCTCAATAAGGATTTATTTACATAGATTTAAATGTTGAAATGGGTCAAAATGGATAGATTAGGTTGGGGTGCAGCCCATGTACATTCAAAATATCCGAGTCATCATCAATGGATGTGCTGGTTGATGGATGGGTTGGTCTTCAATCATTGTGCATCCAACCCAACCCGACTTATCCATTTGCCACCTTAAATAATAAATACCTATTTCAAAGCACCAATATAAAATATTTCAATTAAAACCGACCAGATGCATGCTCTCCCCTTTGTGAGGAGGAAATCCGATCTCATTCGGCTGCTATGAAATGGTCCAGGTAAGCTATTCAAAAAGGCTGAAGCGGGCAGCCCTTCAAAGAACTGACTGACAGTCGATTTGGGCTCTTTGCATTTTAAAAAAAGAAAGCTGCTGTACTTGAGCCCTCCAAACTGGCACTCGAAAGAAGCTTGGTTGGCAATGGGTCTTTCTGCAGTGAACTGAATTCGATCATCATTAGCAAGGGAAAAGTCCAACAAGCAGAAGCAAGCAAGGGACTGTATGGCTAACAATGGTACATGTGACCAATAACCAATCTAAGGAACCCCAATACCAATATCCAGCATCCAGCTAAGGCCTAAGGGAACATGTAAAGACCCAAACGGCCAAACCCATTATGGAAAATACTTCTCTAGTCTTGTTAATTATAGTCATACAGATGTTCCATCATCCATATGGGACCACTGCGCTATTCAGTCTGACAAAGCATGGCAGTACATGATCCACAAGAAAGAAAGCTAGGGTTTGGTAAGAAACACATTTTCTCGATTTATAAGTAGACAATAATGCTCAACAGTTGAGTATTACATCATACAATACAATCATAGAGGCAATACATTTTCATGTAACCAAGAAGCAGAACTTGAAAAAGCTATCCGGGTTCGCTGGTCTGTAGGTCTATGGGTACCCAGTCATCCCAACCGCTGAGTTTGCACGATTGGTTTTGCTAGCAGTAGCAGCCTGTGTTGTGGCTCTGCTGAAGTGCATGTAGTAATAGACGTTCAGAATCATTGTCGCGATAACAAACACAGCTCCTGCTATAAAAACACCTTTGCGCAATGTTTCACATGAGAAGTTCTCGGCATAAATAATCCCCCTGTATTTTGTGTGATAAGCATTTTTTGCAGCACCAGAAATCAGACATGCCTCGGCTATCAGAAAAGCTACCCTGCAGACAAATCAGATAACCATAAACACGCTGACAACACAACACTCAATTAAGGGAAATGTCCAGGGTTAGAACTATACAAACATATTAGCTGAATTATGGTATATAACAAAGATCAAATCCCACTTCAAGTTCTTAAAAAATGAATATTTTGAAAATATTATTCCAACACTTAAAGAAATAAACAATCGTTGTCATGGATAACTTTGAAGTTATGAGGAGTGTGCTCAGCATGGAAAGACTAGATGGTGCTGAAAAAAACATTAAGGTCCTAAAACAAAATACAGAAATCTCACCATGATGAAACAAAATAGATGATGGACCAGGCTCGATTTCCACCAGGGGTTAAGGGTCTTCCAAAGCACATGCATTTTGTGACACCCATAAGCAACGACTCACTTGAGAGAAGGAACAAGAAAGAGCCAACTCCATAGCCAGTTGCAACATCTGAATGATAAACACAGTATGTCGCATTATTTTGGTCTACCACAATTCTACCCTGTCAACACAGGAAGCAATTATCTTAAGGCAAAAAAAAATATAAAATAGGGCAAGTAAAAGAAGCAAGTCTCTGCAAAAGATTCCCTAAACACAAGCAAAAAAAGGAACATTGCTAAGTAGAAGTATCTCCAGAACATCACCTGTAAGATGAATAAAATTCTTTGAGGGAAGTAATTATCAAAAAAAAAAAAATCTTTGAGGGAAGTAAAGGCCCATCTTGTAGTAGTTATAAGCCTATAACTATCCCATGATTCACATCACAGACCTATAGAGCCTAATGTTCCTACTAATTTTATCTTTAAGCCAATAGTCTCACACTAGGTTTAGCAGGTAGCATATGGGGCATTTGTAACTGCTACAAGTTGATGGCTTTCGCATTCATCACATTCTTTTATGTTGTTCAACTAGACTCCCATTCATCAATTTCAGCTACAACCTTGCTATCTATATTACTCTAATTGCATACATGATTTTATGCATCCAATCATATGTAAAAGAGCTGAAACTGCATTTGGTTACAATGCAAATCTTGACAGGGTGCATACTTTATACCTTGGTCAGTTTTTCTTTCATTTATTTGTAGTTATGATTTACATTCCTATCTGATATAGAATTTGTATTTTTGGTCTCTTTTGCATTCACTGGCAATGTAAATTTTGCATATCCAAGAGACTGACATAAAATTTGCACCACCTTCCTCCTACCTCAATTCCTTTTCATATAAAGTGGAGACCACATCATCTTGCATCCTACCTTACTTCTAGATAGATGACCCTCTTACCTCTATTCTCTTTCATTTAAAGTGGAGATCACTTCATTTTACTTCTCACAAACTGATGATGCGCAATCCGGCCGGTCTTAGCTGTCAACGACCTTGCCTCTGAATTGAGTAACTGGGGACCTGAAACGGGGGAGATGAAGAAGCTCCGGGGAGAACCTGGTGTAGAGGCTCCGAAGCTCAAGTTAGAATCCTTCAAAGGCAAGATAAAC